GCAACGAGCCCAATTTGCATCGCAAAATGCTCATAATTGAAGTGAACATGTGGATGGTAAGAAGTTGCCTTATCCTGGTGTTTGCTTGATATATTTGAGCACTTTGTGGGCTACTTCCATGTGTGGTTCTCGTGGTTTGTCCATAAATTGGCTCAATACATCGACGGCATAAGTCAAATCTGACCTTGTTATGGTTAGGTAAATTAACCTCCCAACCAATCTTCTATATCATGAAGCCTCATCCAAGAGATTTCCATCTGATTGTGTGGGTGACATATTTTGCTCTACATGGAATCGAGAAGGCTTAGCACTCAAGAATCCAGTATCATCCAAAATTTCCAAGGCATATTTGAGCTATGATAAATTAATTCCATGTCTTGATCTTGCAACTTCTATGACAATGAAATATTTAAGTTGTCCCAAGTCTTTGAGTTTGAATTGCTTAGATAAGAAGAGCTTGTGTTCTCTATATCCTGCAGATTGTTTCCAGCCAAAATCACATCATCAACATATACAAGGCTAGGAAGCTACCTTGACAACATCATACGAATAAAGAATAAGCAGACCGAGATTGGTGGAAGCCAACGCACTTGAATGCAATGGACAATTTTATAAACCATTGCCTAGAGCCCTGTTTTAAACCATACAGTGATTTGTGAAGTTTGCAAACGCGAGTCTCCCCATTTCGTCCAAAACCAGGAGGCAAGGACATGTATAGCTCTTCATCAAGATCTCCGTACAAGAAGGCATTGTTGACATATAATTGATGTAAATGCCAACCACATAAAGCGGCCACAGTGAGTAAAGTACGAACAGTCACCATTTTGGCCACGGGAGCAAAGGTCTCCTTCTAATCAACCCCTTCAACTTGACTAAAGCCCTTTGCCACCAATCGGACTTTATGCCACTCCATTGTCCCATCAGCCCTCAATTTGATTTTATACACCCATTTGCATCCGATGGGACGCTTATGAGAGGACAAAGTGACTAAACTCCAAGTATCATTTGCTTGTAAAGCTGCTATTTCTTGCCGCATGGCCTCACGCCACTGTGGAGATTGGACAGCTTTTGAAAAACTGCTAGGCTCTTTAAGTAATGTGAGTTGTGAGGTAAAAATTCTATGAACAGAAGAAAGATTTTCATAAGATAAAAATTGAGATAAATGGTGATTTGTACCTGAAGATCGGACCACATTCATGGATGACGATGGAGTAGTCCTTGAGGAGAGAGCTACCTCGATGTGAAAATCCTGTAAATAAGTAGGTGGTTTGGTCCGACGAGAGAGAACATGTTGTGGAGGTGACAATATCTCCACAGAGGGATGAACAGGTGAAGAAAAATGAATTGAGGCTGCCGTGTTTTGTGAGGAATGAGAGTCTGGGATAGTTTGGGCTGGTAGTGTGTCAGGTGGAATATTGAGTGGATTGGGACTTGTTGGATGAGGAGAATCATGTTGAGATGGAGGTGGTTCCGTGGAAGGAGAGGAAGGCACGAGAAGTAGCATTGGTGATATGTCAAATGGTAATATGGATGCATTAGTGAGAGGAGAAAATTGTGATGTGTCGGAATGACTAGAAGGTGCAGCTGGTTGGTAAGCATTTTTTAAAGGAAATGTGGTTTCAAAAAAAGAAACATCCTACGAAACCTTGACCTTGTTTTGAACTAGGTCAAAGACACGATAGCCCTTTTGACTATAAGGATAGCCAAGGAAAATACATCTAGAGGCTCGAGCATCAAACTTTGAAGGGTGTTGTGCATGAATGGAAATGAAACATAAGCAACCAAATACTCGTAAGTGTGAGTAATTTGGAACTTTGTGGAATAATTTCTCATATGGCGTTTTTCCTTGAAAAAGTGGAGTGGTTGTTCGGTTGATTAAGTATGTGGAAGTGAGAATAGCATCCCTCCAAAACTGATGAGAAAGACCGGCTTGAATAAGAATAGCTCGTGCCATATTTAATAAATGTCTATGTTCTCGCTCAACGACGCCATTTTGTTGTGGTGTGTTAATACAACTAGTTTGATGGATTATACCCTTATTCGCATAAAAGTTTTCGAGTTCGAATTCGGTGCCATTGTCACTACGAATAATTGACTTTGGAATTGAATTGGTTTTCAACAATGTTGATAAATTTCATTAGGAGGCTTTTAGTGTCTGGCTTGTGTTTCATGAGGTAAGTCCAAGTGCATCAAGTGTGATCATCAACGATGGTGAGAAATACTTAGCACTAGAAATATAAGGAATTTTATAACCACCCCAAATCTCAATATGAATTAAATCAAAACACGTTGAATGAATAAACCTAGAAGAAAAAATAAGTTTTGTTTGTTTGGCTAACAGACAAATCAAGCATGAATCGATAGAACAAGATGTAGTTTTGAAATTAGGAAAACGAAATAATGAAAATACTTTATTCGAGGGGTGTCTAAGGAGTTGGTGCCAGAGGGTCGGATTAGATGTCTGGACATGATGGCATGATTCTTTCTTGGTTCGGTCCAGATAGTAGAGGCCTTCTCGTTCAATTCCTGTCCCAATCGTCTTCCCTGAGCATAGGTCTTGAATGAAACAAAATTGTCTTAGAAAAATGGTTACACAATATGAATGAGAAGCCAACTTGCTAATAGAAATTAGATTTAATCGAAAATACGGTACACATAACATATTTTCGTGAATTAAATGAGGAGATAAAACAATTTTTCCTATATGAGTTATGGGAGCCATGGAACCATTTGGTAATTCCACAGTGCGGTTATGAATAGGTTTTGAATGGGTGAGCTGGTGAGGATTACAAAACATATGATCGATGCAACCACTATCCAAAATTCACGTACCTTTTCTTCCATTAGAAATCAATGGGAAGGCTTTACCTGATAGTTCATCACGAGTGAAGAAATTACTCACTTGATTGGCAGAAGAAGATTTGTTTTTCAACATGTTAAGAATCTGCTGGCAATCATTTGCTGAAAAATGAAAATTCATCCCCCTTCCATTGGTCAAGTAAGATGTGGCCTGATTCTCTATCGAAACTGATGTATTAAATTCAGATTTTGCTGTCCTTTTCTTCCTGCAATACTCGATGGTATGCCCCTTCCAATCACAAAAATCACATGATGGTGGGTCGGTCAATTGCATTAGGTAGTAGATGCAGGACCTGTCTTAACCGCAAGTGCATTCGCTATTCGATTCCATCCTCAATCCCACAAAATTTGGATTCCAAAGTGTGTATCTCTTCTTTACTTTTAAGTGACAAGGGGGGTGACAGGTATACTTTATTCTCTCTATGTCGCCGTCTCATCAATGAGCGTAGATTAATTAATAGATATGAGATATGGCGTTTACATGTGAGAATCTCTCCTGCAAATCGAGCCACATCCTTCTATCATCCTTGCAATTGATAACACTACTGGCAATCTCCTTGGACATAGATCCCAGTAGCCAATTTTTAACCAAGTTGTTCTAACAATTCCATTGTTGCAGTTCATCCGTAGCGCTCGCATCAGGCTCTTTGATTGAGCTGTCTACAAACTCGACCTTGTTTTTTACCGTTAAGGCCATAGTCATGGACTGACTCCATGTGTTGTAATTGTCCTCGGCCAATGGTTGTGGCACAAGGATGGTGCCAAGCTGATCGGAATGGTGAAGGTAAAGTTAGTGGTGGGAAAGTTCCATTTTTTACTCAAAACTGTATTTCCTACTATGTCTGCCATGGAAGTCGACTAGAGCTTTAAAACAGAATTCTGGAGCCCAAATTTTAATGCTCTAATACCATGAAAGTTTTCTGTATTTGAGTAGAAGATTTGTATTAATTATATTACAAAGGCAAGACACTTATTTATACAAATACTAACACAATCAAGATCTTATTCTACTCCTTATTCTATTCCTATAATCAAGTCTAATTTGTGCACATGTATGTGCATATGTTATTAATTTTTTTTGAAATTAAATATTCAGAAAGTTTCGGAGGATAAAGGATTTAAAAGGGTCTCACTCGAGTTAGAGTCGTTTATGATGATTTGAAAGGAGACTAGAAGGCTCAATGATATGACAAGTTGCAAAAGAAATTAGACAAAGTTCTAAATTAGTTGTAATTTGTAATTTCTGATGAATACTGTGGCTACTATGGACACATGATGATGAATTTCATGTAAAAATAAACAAAAATGAATCAACCTTGAGGCGTTGTTCTTTGACAAGTACGAATGCCATGGATTTATGTGCTATCCAATGAATTTTTCAACAATTGGTGGCTAAGTGGTGGAGACAGGCGGTGATGGGAGGAATTCTTATGATATTTGTATATGTGTGTGTGAGTGAGAGAGAGAGAGAGAGAGAGACGAGAAACGTGTAACGTTTGGAAAGATGATGGAGAGAAATGGGATGAATTAAGGAAGTGTTTGCTTGGGAAGATGAAAGAACCATAACAAAAGGAAATTTTTTATTATTTATTAAAGAGTTAACTACAACTAAAATTTTTATGTAGATTGCCATGTCACCGCTGTTTTATAGTTATAACGATGAATAGCATTATTCTTTAACAATGGTGTCCTTAACTATAATTTTAATGGATTTTAAACGATTATAAATCATAATGGATTCAAAAGATTTGATTACATGTATTTTTAAGTTTGAAATTTATCTAAATCTTTTAAAATCCCTCTATTAATTTACTAGTTATTGAGATTTTAGAAGATTTCATTGAAATTCGTTAAAATACATTAAACCCATGTTTGAGCCACATTTTAAGGAAAAATGTATTATTTATGTCAAATCAATAGAAAATGTATGGTTAAAAAATGAAGAAAAGTTTTAGATTTACGTATAATATTATTTTATTAAAAAATGTGTGATTGAAATGTTATTAAATTGCTGTTAAAAAATATTTTTTTTTGAAAATAATGTAACTCAAACGAACCCTAAAATTTAATTAAAAATACCTAAATTTAGAACTATTTTTAAAATTCATCCCAATTTACACCCTCGTCGGAATAGCCCATGTACCATTTCCAATAACCGTATCTAAATTCCAACAGGTAGGGTTTTGGGCGCCGCACCATATCAATAACTTTTTAGGAGATTAGGGTTTCTATCAACAAATTCCAGACACTATAAATTCTCTCATACCGTGACCTTATTTCCCATCTTCGCCTCTTTCGGTACTCTTTACTAAAGATAAAGAAGTTACTTCCTGTGTTTTACCAATTATTGCGTTCGACAAATTTCCAATTTCCAGTACTTTCGAGGCCTCTCTAGGCAACAACATGTTTTTTTCTTTTTATATGAAATTTATTTTCGATTCTGTTATTAGTAGGTGCTGCCGTGATGAATTATAACTGTGTGCCGAGACTTTCTGTCGGTGACGGCATCACAAACCTCTAAGAAGTTCTGAGCGCTCTCCTTATTTATTTTTATCTTTTTATAACTTTGATTTTGGATCGGTGAAAAATAAATTCATTGCAGCGAGGTGACGATATAATCATGAAGTCTGTCAATCCACTGACGACAGTATGATGTCAATCCATGAATCCCGACAGGTTCTGATCGCTGCGACTCTATATATGTTTATATTTTTATAGATTTGAGCCGGATTAAATTAATTTTTATTAATTTATTTGAGGACAAAGGATGAATCTCATAATCAAATGGGTAATTTGCGTCTGAAATTTTCATTGATGCTACATCACCTTGGAGAACTGATGTCCCTTCCAATTTTGCTTTCTTTTTTCTCTGTTATTTACTGCAGAAGTAATTATTTTCATTTTCTATTAGTGATAAAAATATTGATTTTTAGAAATTACTCTATAAGTAAATATGTTTAATATTTGTTACCAAGATTTTTAAACTTTGCCAAAACTACGTGAAGGCATTGGCTAGACGCCTTAAACTAAGTTTAAGTTTTAGTTGTCATAATCATGAGGGGTAGCTCGGGTTTGTTCCTCAATGATCATCAATTTTGACTCCCTTTAGGACAAGTGAGGACCGATTGTAAACTTAGGGTTCTGTGGAATTAGTCGAGGTGTGCGTGAGTTGATCCGGATTTCACAATCATAAAAATAATAATAATATTGTTAGTTTTAGTTATTAAAGGAGAGTGTTGATATATACATTGTGTTTGATTGTTTATTAGAAAAACCATAAGAGTCCTGAATGTATATCCATTTGGATTATAAGAAACTGGTATGGAATGTTGAACAATGCTTGGTATATACTCCTTGTATATCCATTTGGAATATAAGAGACTGATGTGAAATATTGAACAATGCTTGGTATGCACTTTTGTCTACACCAAGTTATACAGTTTTTCGCATGTGAAAGGGATTCACGTTGAATATTTTATTTGCGGGTCCCCTCATATGAGAGGGTTGTATATTTGTACAGCACGTAACCCTGTTAATGCAACCATATGTTACATAGCCAATGTGCCATTTCTTCTATCATATTTTTTTCAAGCATTTGTTTGGTAGTAATTTTTAGAGAATTTTAATTCAAATATGGTCTTCATACATACAGTATATGGATTCAGAAGCAATAATTGACTGGGGTTGTAGAAAGATATTATCAAATATGTCCTTTCCTCTATGGTGTAGAATGGGAGTGGGATTTTTATAGAATGACATTGAAGTAAATATCATTGGAGAAATGCAGTCAATTCTTCTTAAGTTGTTTGATGAAATTTACTGTATAATGGTTATATTTTAGATCAAATTAAAATTCAATAAAAATGGCTTTAAGACAAGGGTTTTTTGTTGCTGTACAAATGTACAGTTCTCTCACATGAGGGAATTCGTAAATGAAATATTTAATGTTTTTTCTTATATGTGAGTGGGCTGTATAACTTGGTGTTTACAAGAATTTATACCAAATATTGATCTGCATTAATATTCCAAGGTAATTAGGTTGTGTAACTTGATGTACATCAAGCATTGTTCTTTAGACTATTGTTAAATATAAGTGGTTGGTAAGATGTCACCTCAATTATTTTGTTAATTGTTGCAGTGAATCTCGACAGGGAAGCTGATCATATTATTGAATTGCATGTGGCAAATTATCATTCATCTATTTTTTTTTAAAAAAAAAAGAAAGAAAAGAACAAAAAAAATTTTGTTTCACAATTTTTTGAAAACAAATGCAACATCAATGATGTTGTAAACGAGAAAGTGTACAAAAGGCAAAGTTGTGTCTGAAGTTAGGTTACTTCACCGTACAAAATGCCATTTTTATACTTAATAGCGTATATCATGTTTTATATTCGCTTTGTTTCAAAAATTGATGGAGGGAAATTTTTTTTATTAAATTGTTAAATGACAATTTGTCACATAGCAAACTAATTGTCAAACTTTGCCTCCGTTTAGCTATCATTAAATTACATTTCATTCTTTTCTTTTTCTGTTTTTTATCATACAATTTTTTAAAAAGTAATATTATACGCAAATTAAAAAATTTTCTTTCTTTTTCAATCAATCGTTTTTCATAAAGGTACTATTCTACCACTGTCGTTTTAAAAAATGGGGGCCAAATGGGGGCTTTGTGAACACACCAAAAATCATTGTTTTTCAAATCAATTCTATTTCTAATACATGATGGTAGGCCAAATTGTTGAGGGAAATAATTTTTAGAAGAATTTTATTAGGTGTACAGTACATTTATACAATAAGTTTTACAGCCTTCTCACATGGAGGGAATGGAGCCAACAATTAAAAAAATTGTGGTAATAATTTGGGTGAAAAGATTGTGAAATTTATTGTATAATATGCTCTACACCTAGCACTTCTCTTTTTAGAATAATAAATAAAGGAACTTAATTGAGTAAATTATCAACGCAAAATTCTAGATGATGATTGTGGATGGTATTACCTCGAGGATTCCTTCAAGAATATAGTCCCAAATGGTGAAATGAATGACATTTGCGCAATATTTGAAGTTTAAGTGTTTACTTTTTTTTTAAAAAAAATGGTGTGGTAGTAAATATTTACTTGTAATGTCATGTTATACATACATCAAGGGTGATATCTCAAACGACACTCCCTCACATGAGGGTCTGGGGTCAGGTCTGACCCTCGTGTGAGGCAGTGTCACATGAATATATGCATAGCATTTTTCTTGTAAGTTAGTGATCTTGTGATATTTTTATAGTATTATTATTCTATTTTGCTACGTAAATTTGTATATAAAATTAAATTTATTTTGAATACTTTTCCAAGTTTTTTTTTAAATTTTTATTTACAATTGCATATTTACATAATAACATACTCTATACATAAATTTAAATTTTTTTTTTCACTTTTTTATTACACATTTTCTTAAAAATCACTATTCAAAACTTTTTTTTTTTTCTTTTTTTCGAAAAGTATGGTTGATGTCAAACAGGGCTAAATCGGTTTAATATACAACTTCATTTGGTAACATTGACATTTTTATCGTACAAAATCAAGATGATAATCAGAAAAGATATATTAGCCATCTTATATATGCTTCTTGTGAAGTGGTCATATTTTATATTATTGTGAAAATTGAAATGGTTGAGTTGGAGAAGACAAAAACATCACTTTTGTAGGGTAATTTACATCTTTTAACTTTTATATTATAAAAAAAAATTACTTATTTAACATAAATCAACAAATGAATTATTTAATTCAACATTCAGGGTTTAGGCACCGCCAAAAATGCACATGCAGTGCTGTAAATTCTTTCTTAGAGAAGAATTTATTTTTTATTTTTCTTTTAAATCCATTAGTTATTGTGTTTGAACTCTTAAAATTGGCTCTTCGACACTGGGAGGGATTCAAGATGGTTCAACTAACGCAAAAATCTTTTGATTTATATGATCATTGGGCCGTATGGCTCTTCCTCTCGTATCACCTCTTGTATTGGTTCTTTGGTGTACTTCGTCTGTGAAATCCGACGAGATCAACCTCGATGATGTCTCAGGGAAAATTTTAACAGTGGTGAGGGGATTATACGGGATCAGCTTGGACATTGCATACGAGCAATCTCCTCTTCGTTTGAGGAATATCTTATTCTTGAGATTGAGTTACATGCTATTCTAAAGGGGAATTTTATTTGCTAGACAACTTGGGTTATCAGATATTTGAGTAGAAACAGCCTCGACCTTCATCGTTCGTTGCATCACTCAAGGTCAAGGACCATGGACATTCCAAAATATTCTCAAGCGCAACAGACATCACCTCTTTTGATCGAAATTTAGTTACCTACATGTATCGAGCAAAATCAGGTTATTAATCAGTGAGAGATTTCTTGTAATGTAAATCCATTCTTAAGGATTTTATATCCAATAATTTATAAATAAAGCTAACAAATGTAGTCACACACCAAGAATGCAGAAAACATGCGTTAGCTTGCAGTAAATTAGCCATATTTAAATCTGCAAGAGAACATCTTCATTTCCTAATACTAATAAAAAGCAGAAGAGAATAAAATGACATTTTTATGAAAGAAAAAATTGACTCTAGGAAGGAAGAACTCTGCCTGTTAGCATTGGGAACCAACCTCTTCAGCTTTATATTCAAGGGAAAGTAAGGTTAATTAGGAAACATTTTGACGGTGGAATTTGGCCAGCCCATATTTGAATACATTGACAGATTCGGAATTTGCTGATCACCGTAAGGTTCTGAGCCGTGATTAAGGGGACCACCATCATTCTCCTCAGATGAATCACTTGATGAAGGACCGGCTCCTATCACTGGAGCACCAGAGTTCAACATATGCACAGGCGTGGCCAAAGATGGCTTAGACTTGGGGTTTTCCCCAACTGCAATGAAGCTGCCCACCACAATCTGATAGAGAAAAGTACAGTTTGATGGTTTAATATGAGTTACAGATATACACACGTGCAGTCTCTAAAAGTGTACCTGTACTGGTGATGCTGCTTTAAGCATTCCAGCGACTCCACCACCCAAAACTCTACCATCTGACCCAGCCAATGAGACACTCAGGCCACCAGTTCGGCTGCAGTTACCATTACTCTCCGACCAGAAGAAGGAACCGGACAAAGAGATGATTTCAAATCGACCCTGCAAATAGAAGAATGCTGTCATGTATAAGCTACAACAACAAACTGAAAACATGTGTTAGTATTAGTATAATATTGCTCAGATATAGATGACTGTCTTATTGTGCTCAGATATTGCACAATTTTAGAAAGATGGCTTCAAAATTCCTATTCAACTCATCTAAAAAAATTTAATTTAGCCCAAGATCTTTGTCGTCGTACAATCTCAACATTTGCTTTTTTTCTCTTTCTGTCTTCAGTGTCTCCCCTATATAAGGAGTTAAAAGAACAATCTATTTCCCTCTAAATATCGAGTGGTATATAGTTAATGCACTCCCATTTGACTCTCCCATGTTGCATGTAATTTGGATAGCGAACCCTCTGATTCAGGTACCTGCCCGTGCATCTATTTGTATGCCATGAATGCTTAATTTCATCAAGAGTCAATGTGTGCCTACTTTATTGAAAAATAGCCAGTAAAAGGAAGAAAAGGCAAGAATCTATAATTAGGAAGGGGACAGAATCATTGTCAATTGTGCTGCTACTTGGTTTCTTATCATTCACAAGAAATGCTAATACATTTGCTACCTATAAAGAGTTGGATAATATTCTTTTCCAATTTAAGTGCATAACAAACGAATTTAATACTGCATAAAAGTGGCAGAAAGAAAGCATACATGGCATGTTTTTGTCATAACAAATGAATTTAATATTGCTTCTACTATCAAATCACCATCAATATATCAAAACCATTTAGCCCACTGATAAAGATAGCACTAGTAGGAGGCATTGATCTATTAAATTAGTTCTTGTTAGAGAAGAAGGCTCAAAGGACGTTGGCAAAACAGGAGATCGGAAGTGGTATTGCATGTTTTTTATGCGGATCACATGAAAAAGATGCATTACATTGGCAAAATCAACTTTACAAATAAATGATATGCAAGTTCACCATTAATAGAATCCATGGACCCTAAAAGCCTTCATATATGTGCAAAGGTTGATATACGAACACATTTATGAATATTTAACTTGAGTAATGATATCTATATGAACATTAACTAGAACATATATCACATTTTGAACCTCTCTTTATAATCTCTAGAGATATTAGAGATTTAAAAAAAAAAAAAAAAAGAGCAATGCATGAAAAAATATAGGGCACATAGAAAACATAGCTGTATCCATATATCAAGTTCCACATACTTCATATGTTACTGTGCCGCCGGACATTGCTGGTTGCCGAAGGGTGACATTGCATATGGCACCATTAGCAGATAGAATGCAAACAGTACGAGGACCTTGCTGCGAGAAAGCCATGATCTCTGCAGCTATATCCTGCAAAGGAGAGCCAAAAAGCAAAAAGGGAACAAGAAAATTTATGGATTATTCCTTAATGCATGGGCTTCTTTTAGACAGTAGGTTAGTAAGAAAAAGGAAAAACAAAACTGTGAAAGTTGATTTATCACGCTCTTTGCCACCGAAAAAGGAAGGGGGGAACAACAACAAACAAAAAGAAATCAATTATAGCAGAATGTCAGTGTTAAATATCTTCCTTATCTAAGTATGAAAATCAGTCTACCTCATTCTCTTTCAGATCCAATTGCCAAAAAAGGTTTTCTTAGTATTTGTTACTAAAATGTAAAACCCTAAATCAGAACAGAGACCAAGTGTAATTTAAAAAAAAAAAAAAAATATATATATATATATATATATAGACACACACACACACTTTCAATACGTCAAATTACAAATAGTGATCAAAATGAGGATATTAATATCAACTGACTGCACAAAAGATTACGAATGATGGTACTGGAGCAGATAAGAGCATAGCTCATTAATATTCCAAATGCTAAGCACCATCAAGCATAGCTAGTCTAATAATTGTTCTACATATAACTCCAACAAATAGGGGCTTTGCTCGTTAATTTCTCAAATGCTAAGCATCATGAAGCATAGCTAGTCCAATAACTGTTCTGCAGAACTTGTATTTTACCTTGGTCTATATTTTCCAATCACATTAACCCCATAACACTGCTGTCTTTCAATTCGTATCTCTAACCAGCTTTAGTCCCACAGATAACATCATCCTTAATTCCTCATGAACTAATTACCTAAACAAGTACTTTTCAGGACAACATGATCATCTATCATGATCCCATGTCATCCTTATACCAGCTTTAGTCTAACACATAACATAATCTTTAATTCGTCTTTCCTTACATATGATCGAACTAATTACCTAAAACAAGTACTCTCAAGAACAACATGATCATCAATCTTGATTCTAAGTCATTCTTAGTCATACTAGCAGCGCAAGGAAATTATGGACTCCGTCTTAAATCCACTTAACTTGAAATCTTCACAATTCAAAATGTATCTCATATTTCAAACTTAAAATTTATCTAGCTCCTAGTTTCATTAACTAAAATTATATCACCTGTAAATGATATATGATCATCTCATTTGTTTTGTTTTCTACCGAATTTAAAGTTTGAACTTTGAGCTACAGTAAATAGATGATTAAAAATAAATAAATTCTTGTAGTCATACAAGAGTAGCCGTCATCTCAGTGTACTCCTATTACAATCCAAGAGCTACCATCATAGATGTCCTATTTCGAATTCCCACAAAAATTTTGTGGAG